AATTTTAGCAAAAAACACTGATAATAAAATAAATATATAATAGCAAATCCGTCACACAACCTACACCCAGAACTATTTGCAGTATCGGACTGATGTGCGAAGAGGATTCTTTAGAAAAACAAGTCAACTGTAGATTTCCTACATGGATCGTGTATGGCTGGTACTTTCACTTACACAAGCACAACTTCCTTCCCTATGCTATCCGTCAATAATACTTAACATCCAGGAGCAACATAGTTGATCAAGAAGGGTGCAATCAGTGTAGCCCATTCGTTTATTCCTGGCAATTGAAGCATTGTTGACAAAAAATGGAAGAGGCCTTCACGCAACATGCCTACTCACATGATGGTGCTGGCATTTCTGGGATAATTAGAAATTATTATCCCTACCAAAGATAGGTAAGAACAACACATGTCAGATCTCAGTATGTCAATGCTACATTGAGCATAGCAGACATGTTGTGTGTCACACCTAAAGGTACCAAGCACTGTGATTTCTGTCCTGCTGAAATACTGAAGAGTCAGAAGTTCGTCAGAAAGGCTAAAGAAGTAGTGGAAAGCTTTTATACCCATTTTCGTTGGATAACAAAGAGCTGCTGCTTATTCTCTCTTCTGATGCGGCAGCATCTATCGATATCCAAAAAAGACATCGTAAGAGCAGAGAATACTGGTAAAGAAGCCAAATATACCTTCGTTGCTGATCGCCCGGAAATTTGGAGGTATTTCTTTGAGCCAATTAAACGAATGAACCTGGAAAGGTTGGGAGACATGCACAAGAAAATAACAGTGAAAATGACAAAGAGCAAATTGATTCAATATAAAAAATAACAGGGGAATGTTGCATTTAAGTTCTTTGTGAGGTCTCAAAATCAAGAGATGCAGCTGGACCTGAAACAGTTGATTACTCACCAATCAACTCCTGTGCCATACATTTTCAGAACTACCAATGTCTTTTTGGCTAAAACTAACAAGTCCAAGTAATTTCAGTACTTGACTAAGGATTGCAAAGACTCTAGTGTCACCTGTCTCATAGATACTCTGATAATTCAAGATGGAAATGTTTGCTTTTTTTTCAATTTAAAAGATGTACTAAGTAGCTTCAGCCAGATCTGCAGCAACATATTTGATATCAAGCCAAAAATAAGTAATGTCATGTTCAGCACTGACAATTACAAGGTAAACTCGGTAAAATTAAAGGAGAGTCAGAGACGAGGCGTTGGATAGAAACTCACTATAAAGGGCGAGAACACTAAGAAACCACTTGTTTGGAAACTGTTCCTAGCCAACGATATGAACAAAGTGCAATTCATTCGGCTTCTCTGCAGTCTTTAGTGTCAGAGAATGCCTATGCAAATAGGCTCTAAGGAAGAAACTTCATGCTGATTTGTGAGAGGTCGGCATATTTGCTAACATCTACTCAAGAATAATCTTTTATTGCAAATACGCCGAGAATAATTATCAGTACATAAGAGTTAAGAGCCCAGGCAGCGATGTATTTTTTATAGTTCTCCACTATGCTTGAATACTAGAGAATCTGATAATTTTGTTTGACACAGGCAAATGGAACAAACAAAGATTCGTCAACGAACTTGCTCAAGGTTATATCCAGCTCTAATGGTCTTGCATGTTTATACTGGATGCGACATCCCAAGCACCTTTAAAGAGATTTAAAAGCCATTGAAGACTACTAAAAATGCCCAAGTTCGTTCCAGTGTTTGCTAAGTTGGAATACTCATGAGATGCAAGTGCTGACCTCATGGATGAGCTTGATGCGTTCACGTGCGCATTTTACGGAAGACCACGAGTTAAATACGTTGATGATCTGTAATTCATCCGTATAAATGAGTTGAGTTATAAAGTATATTGGCTCAATCCATCACAAAATATAGATATGGGGAACACTTACCCTTTGTCGTAAGAGTTTGGAACAGCACATAAGAAGAGTAAACTACCAGAATAATCAAGGCTGGACAACAATGGGTGTTTTTATTCTCTGGGGGAGTTAAGCTTTACAGTCTTT